GGAGTAAAAGCATTAGTGTAACGATGTTATTAAGTACACACGAGCGTCATTTTAAAGCGTTTTCAGATTCGTTTTGTCTCGTTGATTGTTTTAACGCACTTTTTACATAACCTGCATAAGGAGGTAAAATGCTCAATATATTAAATTACCTCTAACACCTCTAACATGTAATCAAAGTTAATCAAGATCTGAAGTTGACCTTTGAATGGTGTTGCACCAACTAACTACTAATAAATCCTACTAAGACAAAGGTAATGGTATTTGGAGTACCCCAACTTCTTTCCAAGTTACCTCAGGATATAACTTTTACTCTAATGGACAAACAACTTACAATTTCATCAAATGCGAAAGACCTTGGTGTCACATTAGACCCATACCTGAACTATAACGATCATGTAGCTGATGTAGTGTCCTCTTGTATGAGAGCATTGGTACAAATAAATAGAGTTCGCCACCTTTTTAAGCGTGAAATTTTAATCAAAATCATAAATTGTTTGGTATTCAGTAAATTATATTACTGTTCTTCAGTTTGGGCATCTACATCTGAAACGAATATTGAAAAATTTCAGTGTGTTCAAAATTTCGCTGCTAGGATATTAACTGGAACGAAAAAGTTTGAACATATTACTCCCATTTTAATGGATCTGAAGTGGCTGCCGGTTGCAATGGAACTCTATATTAGGCATGCTATTATGACATTTAAATGTGTAAATGACCTTGTGTCATCTTATCTGTGTGGAAAGTTGAATAATATAAAAGACAACAAATAAGTGGTCGTATAACCAGACAATCAAATGCTTTCAGATACCTATAAATGCAGAACTGCAACAGGGCAGAAGTCTTTTGAGTATCGCTCTGTATCTATTTGGAATTCGTCAGCCCAGCTGCCAAACAGTTGTCCTCGATTGAACATTTTAAACATTATCTTAAGAAATATATTCTTAATATTCTTGTAATCTTTCCTGTTAACTATTGCATGTATAATTTATAGTTATGATTCCTTTTAGAAATCATTTGTAAATTAGTTATAAAAACATTTGTAAATTAGTTTTGAAAAGCTCATTTTCGAGATAACTAATAAATATGTATGTATGTATGTATGTACATCTATCCCATATTGATGCATGGTGTCTATGAGCGTTCGGCGGGAAACATAAAATTAATGTAACCGCTCAAAAACGTTACCGTTGCCGAATGCGTGTGCTGAGAAGCTGTTTACATGTACCCAAGTCCGTGTGAACATCCCCTAAACAATAAACAAAAGTCGATCGCGCGAAAAACAAAAGTTATTCACCAGTGTAGCAATAACGCGTAGCTGATAATGGCTACGTTCTACATGACTACATTATTACGGTTGAAATCAATGAGATAAAAGCTAAAAGTATAAAAATATTGTTAACGCTAATGGAAAACCGACAGTGTTTGTAGAATATTTATATCTCCCTAAAGACAGACTCGACTAATGGCAATAAAACATTATTCTTGGCGTCTGTTCTCGCTCACGGGCCTCGTTCAATGTTTTCATCAGCAAAACTAACATATTTGCAAATGCGGTATGTATAAGCCGGACACACGTCGTTACATGCAATACGTTTAATTTTTGGGTAAGAACTACTTGCAACTCCAACACTAAAGCTCGGGTTAGAAAAGTGAATTCCATAAAGTAAAACTATATTCATGAATCTAATAGACCGTTATTTTATCACTTGCCCCTTATGATCTTCATAAGTATTTTCGGTTCCGTATATACAAAAACAAAGACATGCTGTTGCATGCATGATCAATTGACAAAATGCCTGGTATTAAAATATTCGACTTCTTGTTGAAAAGCTGTGATCTGATACATCCCTGCATCAGATGCCAAAAGTAAGACCGTATTATGGCGACAGCAGCGAGTGAATATGAACAGAAAGTGGAAAAAACAAGCTTTATAAACGCCATACTTGGGTAAATAAACATACACTTATATAGCCTACTGTTCATATTACTTATATAGCTATTGATTCATAGTATACTGATTGGGACTTCCAGGAATGCAATCTGCCTGTTGAAATAGCACATTACAAAGCTTTTTTTAATTTACATGTATTTTTACGTTCATTTTGCTCCTCAAACTTATACATGACGATCTCACATTAAAACGTATCGTGAGAAATGCTGCTAACCTTATAAAGCTAGCTAGGGACATTCCATTTACTCGGCTTAGATAGTCTCATATTTCAATTGACAAATAATTTTATTTCAAAATCCGAACTTCATGCCTTGCGCGGTATTCATTATCAAAATTTCGGGTGATATATTGTTGCTTCTTCTTAGAAAAGATATAGTTTCGCGCTAACAGGGCTAACAGTTTTTCTTTTAGGATGCATGTTTACGGGGGAGAACGTACTGTACATTTGACAAGAGGAAATTTCTGTAATCGACGACTGTCATGTATGTTATGGTATACATTTATCGGTATTTTAAATGATTGGGATATCAATATTCTACTTTGCAGCACCAATTGTTTGGACCAATTCTGACTCACGAGCATTTTCTTTTCCTCGACACTTAGTCGAGCAATTACATATTTTTGCTTTACTATATAGACGCTATAATGAAACTGTTGCTTTGAGACGTACATGTTCAAGCGACGGTTCCCTAATTATATCATTTCAAAGATAATTTTAATCTTTAGATCTTTTTTATTGGATTTCCCACCAAAGATTCTGAAGAATTCAAAGAAATGTTTACATTGCTCCAAAGAGATGCGCTCAAGTTTTACTTGACGAGTGATGCAGAGGTAGAATCTTGCCTGGAAAAGCACAATCACAATTGCAGCGAGAGACCATTACCCGTAATACGACGCTGCATAAATTTATATTTTAGCCATGCAGCTTCTGCGAATTTTGTGGACTTCATGCTTAGGTCAAATAAACTCAAAATATCCTCAATTAATGCCTAATGCATTGATCAAGAAGGACTCGCAGAGAAAAATCTATTGCATGGAAAGTATTGGAGTTATTTCCACATTTGCAAGATACAACCCCCGGTTTGACGCAATGCTGGAAAGCAAATCTGGCAGAGGCTTCCTCAATTTTCTCTCTCCCTAATCCTCGCCCGCATTTCTAATTTCAGCAGCAGCGGTCATCTTTAAAAATCTAGCACATTTGCATTCGAAGCCTCTGCGGAGGGGAGAGCTGAAGAGAGATGTAAGAGTATTATTTAATTCTGACTTATCCACCTGTAATATTCTCTCTATATATTATTAAACCCTTTTACAACACTTTCTTATACGTTTCTTATCTATAATCCTAACCTTAATTTGTCTTGTCAAATAATGTCAATCATATCTAAATATAGCATGCAATGTTCATCTGACCCAACTATTTATATTTATATTAGTATTATAATTAGTTATTAAAAAATGTCGGATTGCCTGTCTATTATTACATCACTCTCCTTTTTGAGAAAGTGTCTATTTCTACAATTAATGGGTTACCGTATTTTTTGTGGTGCTCGCTTCCGTCTCTCGCTGATCTCGAAGTCATATTCGCTGGAACTTCGAGTGTCGATTGAGAATTGTCACCAAATGGGCTTTCCTGAAAGTGGTTCAAACGAATTTAAAATGCTCTCCATTGCAGGAAAAAGTAAACAAATTTGAGTTATGGTTTTGATCGGAAAGGCATGATGACGAAAGGCATTTGATCCAGGAAACGAGCACATTGATAAAAGTTTTGGTCCACTTATTCTTATTAATTCCCCGCTGAGATTCGTTTATTGGTTCCTGAATCTGGTGTTGGACGAAATGGAGAAAATGCAATGGCAATATGCGACGAAGAGGCAACAAGGAAGGATGACGAAGACTCCGAGTAAACCAATCCTTTCCGCAATATGGCCTCAATGTATTTCAATATGAAAATGAACATTTGACATAGAAATGCTTTTTTGTTGAGTTTCCAAATGAACTGGTATTTCCTGTATTGCTAAAATTTTAATAATTGCACTGGACTAAACGAAAGGATTTGTTAAACTTTAACAGAGTTTATAATAGTTACTGGTTCTCTAAAAAATACCAAAACAATAGTACTAGATAAAAATATTAGAAGGATTACTGCTTCAATATAGAGGTGTTTAACAATTAAAACTTTCATTCAATTCGGGACGTTTGCGACGGAGGAGTAGTACCGGCCCAGGTATTTAGCAATATCATTATTCCATAATATTGCCACGATTAATGTATCGATGAACGCGTTTGTAATGATGAGACTAATTTAATCAGATCGCCCCACTAATCGCTACTTTGAAATGTTGCAGCGTAGCCAGTCAGAAGATTTCATCACGCTATAGAAATCGCGTTATATACATTTGAATGTTATTTTTTAGGAAATTGATTGTTGCAATAGCCAATCTGCCAATGTATACGAAAATTAAAACGAAGTACACGGCTGGACTAGCGATGCTATAATATAACAATAGAGTTGATGTTCTCCGGCGTAAATGTGTTTTTGGCCCGACTCTGAACTCATTTGGCATATGAACTGATTGGCTTAGATCAGCGGCCTAAGATATATTTTTTATTTTTCCGGCAAATTTATTATTTTAGCCCACAAAGTACACTGCAATGCCCGCCAAAGTTATAATAATTTATGTGATGATTCTTTTACGTGCAACATATTGTTTGGCCTCTATCCTAGAAAATCAACAAACTCATACTTATAGGAGGGTGAACAACAAACAACAATGCCCGGTCTACCCTTAAAAATTCCTATAAGATTGCAAGATGTCAATGTTTTGTAAATTATGAGTGATTCGATCCGCCAACATTAATTGCTGTTTCCAATCATTTTTATGTTATGTACCTGTTGAAAAGCCGTATATGGTAATGATAGAACGTTCTACTGATATTTTAATACGAAACAAACAATAACGAATAATTTTTCCAGGAAATCATTAGCATAAGAATTGTAGCTATAGAGACCACGGTTGATGCATTTTCAGCGAACGCCGTTTCGATTTCTGTTAAGCCTCTTTGTACGAGAAAAAATTATAGCTACTATGGGTGCATCGGAGTCAAAAGAAGACAGAGATAAGGAATGTGTCAAATTTGCCTTAGTTGGATCAAGTGGTTCTGGGAAATCTGCCTTTGTCAACGCTGCGAGAGGGTATTTCAATATTAACTTTCTCTTTTCCTAAACCAGAAGCTCAAATAACATCATGATTATACATAACTTCTTTGTGATTAAATTGCCATTGGTAGAAGAATATCGCCTGGCTTTTTATGCCCAATGGTATAATGTATGCCTACTCGAATAATGAATGTACAGCATGCTCAGTAGTTCGTTCATCGTGCAACTGAAACATATTAATAGAAATAATATTGCAACGTGTCTCTATTAAGTCGGTAGTTTCCATAAATCAATTCTGAAACAACCTATAGACGATCAGTGCAAAAGCCAATATTGATGTTATTGCAATCAATATATAAGTGTACATTTCTCGACTCGAGTGTCGCTGAGCGGAATTATGTTACATAAATAATAATTCTACATAGCTAATTCCGAAATCAATATTATGTATGATATACGCCTTTATATGCTAAGGTGAAAGTATACATTTAAGCCCCCCATAGACGGGCAAGTTTTCGTTGACAAGTTTTCCCTCCCAAGTTTTATTTTCTCGTGTGTACGCGAAAAATATGAGCCATGATAAAATGAGTATACGACCAAATCTCAAAACAAACAGAAATGATAAAACTTCAAAACCCCGCTCGATTGGTGAACTGATCCCTGCCGCGCAACTCCTTGTCAAGTTTTCCTTGACGGCCGTACACACAAGCATTCTTCCTTGCATGTTGAAAGCTGTCATGACTAGCTTTTGAACAAGGATCTTTGTCAAGGAAAACTTGACAGTCAATTTTTTCGCGTACACACGAGCAAAAAAAAAATCGGCAAGGAAAACTTGTTAAGGAAAACTTGCTCAGTACAAAAATCAATATTCATACTGATATTATCGTAATCAATGTATACTATTAACCACTGCGGACGAGATCGATCATGCGACATAAATAGCATGTAAAATTATAGGAATGTAGGGCTTACAATTTGTAGACACACTTGGCATATGGTAAAACGCGGACTGGACTGGACTAGTAAAACACGGACTGGACTAAATTAGTAAAACGCGGACTGGACTAAATTAGTAAAACGCGGACTGGACTAAATTAGTAAAACACGGACTGGACTAAATTAGTAAAACGCGGACTGGACTAAATTAGTAAAACACGGACTGGACTAGATTAGTAAAACACGGACTGGAATCGATAGAATTTCTTTAGTTTTATAATTATTAACGCAGCAAGAGATTTAAAAAGTCGTATCCCAAAGTTTTGGAAAGAAGCGTAGAGCCTTGAGCATTATTCACGATGTAAAGAAACGAGGAGCGACGAGCATAGCTTCAAAACATTCCGGGAAACTTCAAAACTGTCACAGGAAATTTGGCCCCCCCGAAAATTTGGCCCCCCCGGGCCAAATTTCCTAGGAAATATGGCCCCCCCGGGCCAAATATCCTAGGAAATTTGGCCCCCCCTTCGGAAATTTGGCCCCCCTCTAAAAAACTTAGTTTACCTTACCATTTTAGAGCTAGAGAACCGTTAAGTGTATAAAAGTTTTAAGTGTATAAAAGTCTATCTAGCCGTGGTTTGAGTTACAACTTACAAACAGCACTGACGGATTTTATATAGTGCATGTTACCTGTTATTGTGTTTGCCGATTGTTTTTAAACGTTTTTATCCAAATTTGTATTAATTACTATCTAAATGTTAGCCGCATGAACATTAACACTTTCGCCAACGCATGTTGTCATCGCTTGCTAAAGTGTGGTTGTTATTCTGACGAATTTCATATGAGGTTCAGAAACTTGATGAATATTGAGTCAAAAGGTCGCGATTTCAAAACTATATATATTTTATATATATTTTTTGAGAGTATAAAGTATGTTATCGAGGGGGACCAAATTTCCGAACTGTGCAATACGTGATTTGTCCTCCCCAGAAATTCTTAATTTGGCGACCTTATAAATTATAGGCTTAGCGGTTATACATACATAGGAAAGGTTGTTTTAGGAAATTACCACTTATTTATTTATATTTCGATTAAAGCCCCTAGTAATGTTATGATAATCCTAGAAGTTAGCCACGTGCAATTAACAATATTCGTCTTCGCTCTTCGCCGAGATGAAAAGCTTTTGAAATAAATGAAGCAAACTAAGTATGAATACAAATAAACATTTACGATCTTGTTTTTAGAAGAAGCTTCGCGATTCTCGAACTCATGGCAATAAAGTATATGTTTTCGAGGGGGCCAAATTTCCGAAAGGGGGGCAAAATTTCCTAGGAAATATGGCCCGGGGGGGCCAAATTTTGGGGGGGCCAAATTTCCTGGGACACCGGGCGTAAAAATCGAGCAATTCTTTCAGAATCTACGCAATTTATCATCTTATGTTATGAATTACGAGCATTCAATTAACACAAATATGATTTGGAAGGTTTATTCCATAAATAGAGCTAAGAGGTTAGGAAGAAACGACGGTGTGTTGTTTATGTATTAATAGATCTCTTACACGAATATCAGTATATTATGTCGATAGCAAGTCGATACCTGGTATTCTGCATACAGTACATAAATTATAGTATACAAAACGGACATTTTGTGCAGTAATCAAATAATTTTGGCGGTATACAGTATTGATTATAAGTATATTGTTTTGTATCGATTTACGCGTCGAAGTATCCACATCATTGACATAATATGCACCGCGGTTTATTTACATTATTTACAACGCAACTATTTTGGCTATTCTTATGAAAAGACGGATAAATTGCCATGACATAAATGTAGTGAATGTAGTCACAGTTGCCTGACGAAGAAAAGAGACTAAACTGAGAAAATCGCGCCTGGTTTAGATGAGCAACTAAAATTATAATTTAATAGTGACAGTATCCGCGACTAACGTAACTTGAGTACTTTGAGTAATTTCCTTTTGATTAATGTTTAACCTAGTTCATTATATTTTTACTGGCATGAGGTAAGTCAAAATGTTTATGTTGGGATAAACGTCCGGTTGCTTAGGTATTACAGGGCATGAAAACTTTGCACTATCCTTGGACCCTAGTTTGGGCTTTTTTATCAATGTCGGAATTTTGAAGCTTGCTTCCATGTTTAAACAATGGACGCAAGCACCAAGTTTTCGATTTTGGCGCGGTTGGCGCGTAGTGAGTCGTCCTTCGTCGACGTAAATCGCAACCATACGGAGTGCTCTCGGTAAAACAGTTTTCTGGCATGCATTGAGAAATTTTGGGGCAAACTATAGGCTAAAGGCAAATCACAATTAAAGAAATTTTATCGATTCCAGACCGTGTTTTACTAATCTAGTCCAGTCCGTGTTTTACTAATTTAGTCCAGTCCGCGTTTTACTAATTTAGTCCGGTCTGCGTTTTACTAATTTAGTCCAGTCCGTGTTTTACTAATTTAGTCCAGTCCGTGTTTTACTAATTTAGTCCAGTCCGCGTTTTACTAATTTAGTCCAGTCCGCGTTTTACTAATTTAGTCCAGTCCGTGTTTTACTAATTTAGTCCAGTCCGCGTTTTACTAGTCCAGTCCAGTCCGCGTTTTACCATATGCCGACACACTTCCTACCACGACAGGCAATGAGGCAACCCATTAATAAGTCATAACGTATAGCCTGCACATTGTAAATAATACCAAGTTAATTTCCGAAACATTTTCATCAGCCTCGATGATCACATAATGAAATATGCATATCATATACGTATGATACAAATCTGTAAGGTTTAAAAGCTATGTGACTATAAATTAGCTTACCATTAGTTTGTGTTTGTACCGAACGACCATGAAGAAATGCATGCAAAGAACTGTTTGCCAAACTCCATGTAAGCACGTTATATTGAAGTGACGATGTAATAGCTGGCGTCAACATCATATTGTTACCTCAAGGAGAATCTATCATCATAAACTGCATACTTGCGCCACCTTAAATGCAGATAAAATAGCCGATACTGTACGAACTGCAGACTGGTTGTTTTAGTAGATGATTCGTAAATTTTAGCGGTTAATAAAAAATAATAAATGCATTCAATACAAAATATAATTATATTCGTATGCAGGTTTTTTATAGCGATTTATTATACCTGACAAAGTGCCTTGAAATTTTGAAAAGCGACTTTCCTTTGACTAGTATGCTGTAACCCAAAATAATTCCAATTCCAGCGCTTAATTTTTGCGCTCATGCATGTTTAATTTTTCTAAACATTGCAACCATTTTGCATTAACTTTGTTTATCATTACTCGATTGCGTAGCATTTGTTTTTATTAAAATTTTATGTCTGTCCGTGCAAATGAAAATTCCGCGAAAATTCATTCAACATAAACCAAACCACATAGAACACATCCGGAATTTTAAGACTCCTGGGTCCCCCCGGTTGACATTATTCGAGCTGGACCTGATTGCGGTCACTGAAGAGAATTATGCGAAATTAATTATTTCAGGCCCAAAAATAAATAATCCCAGACTTTCAAAATAAATAAGATATTGTGTTAGGCGCACGCCGATAGCCTTAGACTTTATTTTAAGAAGTTTGCATTTTTCATTTCCTTTCAGAATTGATGATGACGACGAAAAGGGAGCAGGTGTAGATATTGTGGAAACAGGAAAAAATGCCTATGAATTTATCAATCCCGAAAATCCTCGCGTCAGTTACTGGGATACACCTGGATATGGTACATCAAACTATCCAAATCTTCAAAAGTATTGGAAGGAGTGCGAATTGCAAAAATTTGACACATTTCTGATTTTTATATCTGTCAGAGTTACAAAACTTGATCTAGAGTTGATAAAAAAAGTAAAATCTGCCAAAAAGTCATTCTTCATTATCCGCACCAAAATTGATATCGAATCCAGATTATTACAGAAACGTAAGAATCCGGTTAAAGAAGACGAATTCTTGGAAAAAATCCGGGATTATGTGCATAAAAAATTGAATTTGGATTCTTGCTCCAAAGACAGGATATATCTCATCAGTAACTATGATCCATACAAGTGGGAATTCTTTCAACTGTTACAAGCTATGAATAAAGAGTTCTCTCTTCCTGAGATGGGTAGGTTTCACTAAATATTCTCCGACTATTTAATACAGATTTTCTTTCAAACTATATGATGATACTTGAATAATTTATTGTCTTATATAGCTACATGGCAGCAGTTTTTTGTAAATAGAATGATAAGATCTGCCAGCGCGTTTAAGTTTAAGGGGATTGAAGCTGCACAAAAGCTGGTGAAAGAAGTCAATAAATGGAAAGGAGTTAAAATAAATGTGGCTATAGTCGGACAATCTGGTTGCGGCAAATCGAGTTTTGTGAACGCCATTAGAAGGTAACATTATGACCATATCGTTATATTGGACATTTTTCTGTATCACTATAACGTGAAAGGAATCTCAACTCTATATACTACGGAGATCAAACTGGTCAATTTCTATTTTCCAAATTATTTTGCGCCCATATACCTAGAACAGCGATAAACTGTTTTTTGATCGAGCCAGTTGTGATTCTATTACTGAAATGGATTTTTTATTATATTTTGTTAGCATATGCCAAAATTGACTGAAAAGGGAGGGAAAGGGAAACCAATCAACATTGTGTCAACGGATACAAAAAAGTTGTTAAAGCTATAATAATATTCGATTTTACACCTCCATTAATTAAGACACAATTAAAAATTTGCTAGAACTTAATGGTACGGAACTGAAAAATGTGCATAGCAATCACATACACTGTAAAAACGTATATTTTAAATCCCAATTGCAATTTAAAGTTGGTTTCTCAGATGCATTTGTATTCTAACAAAATTCATTTCATCAGGGTGAACAAAAAAAAATTACTAAAATACCGGTTAAAATAACTTAAAAAATATTGTTAAAGACAATTATCCTTTGTTTCTTATAGTGTCAAAGATGACGACCCAAATGCAGCAGAAACGGGAGTGATCGAAACGACAACCATTCCCACTCCGTACCCTTATCCACATAATCCCAACATAACGGTTTGGGATTGTCCAGGTATCGGTGGTCCATCAAATATTCCCAATTTCGACAAATTCTGCACCTTGGTCAATATTGAGAAGTTCGACGCATTTATCATTACGACAGCTGATCGCTTTGGAGATATCGATAAGGACCTAGCAAACAAATTTCAAGAGAGTAGAAAGCCTTTTTTCTTTATTCGCACAAAAATTGATATTGACTGCGAAAATGAAAAAAGAAAAGGAAACACCGAAAGCAAAACGCTGGAGAAGATTAAAGCAGATTGTTCTCTAAGTTTAAAATCAGCAGGGGCGCCATTGGAAGACAACGATATCTTTCTGATTAGTAATCATGACACATTGAAATGGGACTTTGGCCGCCTTACGGAAGCACTCAGTGATCAACTGCCTACTCGTATAAGAACTGCCTTTCTTTTTACCATGTTCACGTTTTCGGAAAAAATTCTCAGAAAAAAGGTCGAAGTCCTCAAAGGTATGTGTCTCCAGGTTTTTTTGTATTTCACATCGCCTACCCCGGGAAAACTCTTGTGCAGCTTAATTAGGCGGCTACGTACACTTTATTCAACCAAATTCACAGAATGGCAAAGTAACAAGTAGCAACGGAAGCTGTTTAAGCGACAGGTATACACGTGGGTGTAATAGGGGGCAAAATGTCTGCAGGAATTTTAACGAATTCATAATTACTTGCTACATTAGAAAAACTAGAAATACATACTAGATATAACATGGCTATTAATTCATCGGCAGAAATAAAATTGTCAAAAACCTGACAGTTCTCTGTCTATACACAAGCAATATTTATTTATATTTCATTTTAAAAAGAATTCGGCTGAGGTTAAAAGGTCATTATTTTTGGCGTGGAACACGAACTTCGAAACTTGCTATACAATAATATGATTTAAAATATGCAAACAAAAAGTCTAGTTAAAGGACACATTTAATAGTCACGTGATTGATATTTATGTATTTATATTGTAACTATCTTCTTTTCTTTCTTTAAGAACGAGTATGGATGGCTATATTTCATTCATTTATTGCACAAGTATACGACAATATCACTTTGCAACACTCTTCTGATTTTATCATTGGTAGGATCGCGTTTTACAGATCTCAGCTTGGTTTTCCTGAGGAAGACTCCATAGAATTTAAAAACTTTTCGCCTGCTCGCCAAAATGACTTCCGAAAATTTTTTATTAAACCTGGTGTAAACGTGATAAATTGGTTAAAAAATTTTGATAATGCTGATTTTGACCAATCACATCTGAGCGTCAACGCAGAATCATATAGATTTCTGCGCAGATCAATGCATCGTATTTTGGATGAAATGGAAAAGGTTGCAATAGAAGTCATGAAAGAGGCAACAAATTTGGATAGATTTTGACTGTTAATCGTAGTTTGGAACTAGAAAAAAGGATGTATAGATGTTTCTGGATTTACTATATATAACTCTTGTTACATGGCAGCAACGGCTGCATGCACTATGTATATGCACCGATATAATACTCTCACTCGTGCATTCAGTTTAAGCAATCTATAAAAATGATATAATGCTATTAATTAATTAAGAAATCACAGGAAAAGTATCAAATCGTAGCCCGGAAAAGGTCTATAGCTTCTTTACTTCGGTAAAGCATGCAACTGCAAATATAACTTAAACATATATGCTGTATCACCCGACACAGTGATGACATCACTAGTATTTGTAGCACAGTAAAACTTAATTAAATATATTGTACTTATCTACAGTTGAAGGGCATTTGTCTTCATAATTTCGAACTTGCCATGTCTTACGACATGGGACCAGAGACCTACTGTGGAATACGAAACAAAACTAAAATCTCCGTTATAGACCTAGATAAGGACAAATGTAGCTAATTCAAATTTCAAATAGTAGTGATAAGTAAACTTTTTGCGTGACCAGATATTATAGTGGCAGAATGTTGGTATTGCATTTGCAATGCGGTATCGCAATAGACATCGTTTTAAATTTAGAACTATCTCTTATGAGATGGATTTCAAGTTTTACTCTCACTCAAAACTTGTCCAAATGGGATGTCATAGACGGTGGACTGTTGAAAACTGAACGAGTGAAGACTGATAATCAATAACGTTCTGATTGGCTAAGACAGAAAGTTTGTATTAGTGCTTTAAAAACTTTGTGAAAATAAAATGTGAAGAAGCAAGATAAAGGCGATATATAACAGACGACTATGAAGAAAACATGGCACAGTTCAAGACTAATATATGTGGAACAGAAATAATTCATAGTCTGTAAACGACAAAGGTACCTGTTTACTTTGTTTATTGCGTTTTTTCATCTTGGTTAGGATGCACTTTATTTGAGCTTGATATGTCGATTTGCAAGGGCATAACCAACTTAGATACAGGCTTGCACACATCGATTTCACTTAAAAAGTTTAATTTGAATTTCTTGTAGCAGAAGTCGATAGACACTGTACAAAACAAAATAAAATAACATTCGACTTTTAGTCTTTGTGTCCTTTGTCTTTGAAGATTTTTTGTACTGTTTTCATGGTTTGAAATTGAAGCTTAAATTTTAAATATTAAATTTTAAATACTTTATTGCCGCAAGATCCATTAACTGCCTGCTGAATAGCGTAATGCAGCAAAAACTTAAAGGGCTATACGCTTTATGAAAGCTAGAATGATAGAAATATTAGTTACACTTCAGTCTTTACCCTACAAAATGACGATAATATATTGATGTCGGGCTAGTGCAGAAAATTGTGTATAGTTGGCTGAAATAGCGAGGGGTTGCTTCACGCATGTATTTCTAGTCTTATAATATCATAAGATTTCTTCAAGGTCTTGTTTTTCTTTCTCTTGAAACAGATTTTTCTAGTGTTTGGTCCGAGCTGATGTTTTATCAAACTGTGTGGGAAGTGGCATGTTGGGTGTTCCTTGTGGATACAAAGGTTAGTAGGGTTCGCTGAATGACAAACGTGTTTTTCCAAGAATCATTAGCATAAGAATCATAAATGTTACGGCTAATGCATTTTGCAATATCTTGCAAACACTGCAAGGATAATTTTCACGCACACTGACTTGTTCCAGCACAAATTTAATCGAAATGGGTACATTACAGACCAAGGTGGCCACATTCGCTTTAGTTGGGTCAAGTGGTTGTGGGAAATCGGCTTTTGTTAACGCCGTAAGAGGGTAAGCAATTTACTTTCACTATTCTTGAAGGAAGCTTTGTGTGAAAATATGAAAGTAATTTCACTCATAGTTAACAATTCTTGTGTGATACAGAGGTCAAGAATCGTCCGTATTTCCTGCCAAACAAAACTGATCAATATATGATGCGAAAAGAGTAAAAAATATCTAAAATTCCATATTTGTAGCGTTTATGTTGTTTTAAACGTACATACGATGCCATGACGAGTATTGAAATTAATTATACATTAGACATGAATATAGTAAATGAAAGTAATTCTGAAACATCTATCATGCATGCATAAGAAACTCAGTTTTATCACTATTCTTGTCATGGAATCTACCAACCAATATACTATTATATTGCAGTCATCAAAGCATGCATGGTAGTATTTATTAAAGGCGGAATACATATGTTACGCAAGGCTTTAGTATGTTCAGTTATTTGCATTTAAAATTAGTTGTAAAATAGGAAATATTACCTGGCAATGAGGCGGATAAATAATGCATTTTTGCCACAGAGTACACATGAGTAAAAACAATGTTCGGCCATTTGCAATCATTAATTACTTTTTCTTTCATGCATCACATTTCGTGGGATCGAATAAAGTAGTAAGGTGGTGATATAAGATATCAATCACCCTGCCAGAACTGGCGCATCTGGCGTAGTATGAGTAGTTAAATTGTAAAATAAGGTTCACAGAAGCAATGCTTGGAGATTCTAATAGTTGTTGATGATAAATATCTTAAGTTGTGAACATTCTTAAATATTCATTGATTATATAAGCAGAAGACCAACTCGACTAGTGCGTCAACGCCCTAAACAAACAAGATATGAGAGCTGGAATGAGCTTCTAAGACCAACCCACATTTCTCACTAACAACGCTGATTGGTTGGATAATGATCAGCCCACTCGTGCGCAGATGTCCCTCGACCGTTACTATATATAAAAGGGCATGCACAACACCCGAACCTTCAGTGGACTAGCGGAGTAAATGTGAAACGTTAAGAAGCTCAACAGTACAAGAACAACGATAAAGACAAGAACAACAACGACGAAGATCCAAGAGAAGAGCAACAGAAGACCAAAAAGAGAACATTAGTTAACTTATTGTAAAGATCTCCTACCTCGCGCATATAAAATAAAACCCTTTTTGTTTGTGATGTTTAAGGGCATCAAAAATTGATAGAATCGACTGGACTGGGATAGGATATAGAATAATAATTTTCATCGATATAATTCTACTTCATAAACGTCGATCCTCAGAGAATAAATAAATTAAATGAATTATCATTTAAATCAGACAGTGCCAACTGCCAAGAATTAACGTCAAAGAGTTTTTAATTTTGGGTCGGTTTCAGCCTTGCCAGGATTACCAACCAGGAAAGCTGCATGAAAATTAGCTTGATCACAACAAACTGAAATCGAACCCGTGGGCCGTGACCGTTGGTTTGTGTATTGGGCATGTCATATTTCAAATCTGATATCTTGTTTATGATAATTGTACTCTTTACGGAGAAATATAGTTACTGTAATACTAGGCTATATATAAGAAATAAATGTATATCCTGGTTGTAGAGATTTTAAATGTTTTGAACCTGAATATTTTGTACTTTAGTTTCGACGATGATGATGATTCAAAAGACAACGAGTTTGAAAGGATAGCAAAGGTTGATATTGTGGAAACAGAAGATAAAGCCGAAAAGTACATTGACCGAGATAATCCATTCGTCAGCTTCTGGGATCCACCTGGTTATGGCACACCAATCTATTTTAAAATTCGAAGTTATTGGAGGAAATTTCAGTTGGAAAGATGTGACATTTTTCTGATTTTTATTTCACATAGAGTAACAGAACTTGATCTTGAAATAATACAGAAAGTCAAGTCTACCAACAAGCCATTCTTTCTCATTCGCACTAAAATTGATAACGAATACATGTTGGAGAAAGATAAAAGTGAGTTCGACGAAGAAGTCTACTTGGACAAGGTCCGGAAGTATGTATTGGAAAAAACGAATTTGTCGTCGGAGGTATTTCTTATTTGTAACTATGATCCATGCAAGTGGGATTTCTTTCAACTCTTACAGGCAATGAACGACGTCCTGCCAGTTCCTGAGATGGGTACGTTTTTATGACCTCACTAAGATGACCTCGTCTTTCTGAAATATTCTTCCAGATGATTACTACCTTTGAAATACAGAATTTAAAAACATTTTAAATTCTCTCTACTTTTTGTAGCTACATGGCATCAATTCTTTGTGAACAGAATGACCAGAGCTACAGAAAACTTTAAGTATAAAGGGGTTGAAGCTGCGCAGAAACTGATGAGAGATCTTAATAAGTGGAAAAAAGTTAAAATATCTGTGGCTGTTGTCGGAAAAAGTGGCTGTGGCAAATCAAGTTTTATTAACGCTATAAGAGGGTAATGATATCTGCAATTAAGACTGTGTATCAAAATTAAGATAAATATATATAATATTTCAAAGTTGGATTTCTACGATCGTCGGGTTTAAACATTAATATTATGGAAATATCAAATCATCAAAAACTGAAGTTAACATCACCCGCTTTTCAGCCTGAAATTTTAGGCGAAAAATTCGAGCTAATTCCCTGCAGTGGTATAACAAATGCCTAAAATAGACAAAACACTTCTCGAAGTTTCGACCTGAGAGCCTTGTCAGGAGAGTTAGTATGAGAGAATAATAGCAAATCTGTGAGATAGAAACTACACCAGAATTCCGTATTTTATTTTGTATTCAATTCGGCCAGAAATGCTAAACACTTATTAAAAAACTTAGTCATGGCATAGAATTATATTTCAGATAAGATTTTAGTTACACGCATGCAGCCTTTAGTAATAGCGTCACAGTATTTAAGACAATTATTCTTTGTTTCTTATAGTGTCAAAGATGACGACCCAAATGCAGCAAAAACGGGAGTGACTGAAACGACAAAAATTACTACTCCGTATCCTTATCCAGATAATCCCAACATAACAGTTTGGGATTGTCCAGGTATCGGTTCACCAAATATTCCCGATGTCGACACATTCTGCACCAGATTTAAAATTGAAAGATTTGACGCATTTATCATCATGAGTTGTACACGATTTATACACGAGTCTAATGCAGCTTTAGCGAAGAGACTTGCTGAAGATAACAAACCTTTCTTTTTCACCCGCACTAAAGTCGATATCGATTGCAAAAATGAAAGGCGAAAGCAGATCAAGGATGAAGAAACATTTGATAAGATTAAAGCAGATTGTTTGCAAAGTTTACAATCAGCAGGGGCCCCATTGGAAGACAATGACGTCTTTGTGATCAGTAATCATCACCCATTGAAATGGGACTTCGCCCGCCTTACGGAAGCACTTAAAAGTCGACTATCGTCTCGTATAAGAGCGGCCTTTCTTTTTTCAATGCACTGTTCTGAAGACATCATAAAGAACAAGGTCAACAAATTAAAAGGTATAGATAGACTATTCTCAGATATTGCTGTTTACAGCGTGCAAACACACTCGAAATTTTAATTGTCTGGACCGGAATGCTGTGGTCCACACGAGTGTTGGCGCGGAGACACATTTTATAAAATGTCTCGAAATTCAGAGCCTGTAACACTCCATGCTTTTTTCGGTTACTTTTTAATACCCTGTGCTATGAAACCAAGAATTCTCTGTTTGCATCTATTTTTTTAAAGGTGGTATTGATTGTATTAACGACCTTGGGCCGGTTGTAAAAAGCTCTTATCACTTTTTAATCACTTTTTGTGATTACAACGTCGTTAACTTTAACCACGTAGTTATAAGCCAGTTGTATAAAAAGGTGGTTAGCGTTAATCATAGTTAAAACGCAGTTAAAGTTAACGATCCTCAAAAGCATCGTTAACTGTCCACAACGTAGTTAAAAATGGCGAATAATGGCGAATAATGAATAAAAACTGAGACGATCGAATTGGGAAAAAATATGCTAATACCCCGCCGACAATTTATACGCCCATATAATTATAATATATATATAAATAAAACAATTTTCTCGCAAAAATGTAAGCAGCATATTATACAACATACTATTTCACATCAAATAATTTTGGGCCAAATTTCTTCACTTCTTTTGTGCATTTAGTACAGCATTTTCGCTAAATGGTCATCATTTATGGATACTGGTTGCAATCATAAATTACGCTAGCTGACTGATATAACACATGTATATGTAAGACAGTATAATTATTCATCATCCTTTTAGGTCGAATATGGATAGTGGCACTTCGATCTAGTATTTCAAAAGGGTGGACTGAACTCATTATTGAAAAGATGAATTTTTGCAGATCACAACTTGGTTTTCCAGACGAAAACTCAAATTTATTTAAAGAGTTGTCGCCCAGGCATCAGGAGGCGGTGCAAAGATTTTGTTTGAATTCAGACACAGATGTTGTATCCTTCCTACAGAGCTTCTATCCGGGAGATGACGACGGAGGAACGCCTGACGTCAACAACGCAACCTATAGATTCGTGTACCGATCAATGCATGGAGTTTTGGATGAAATGGAAGTAATTGCTCTTGAAATCCTAAAAGAAGCAAAAGCACAAGAAATATTACAATAATGAAATAATCGTCAGTGATATTACTTCATATATAACTAAACACGTAAGCAATTTTTCCTGTTCGAGACTGGATGGATAATCTTATTGCAAAAGATAATCTTAATGCAATTACCAGATGGATAATCTTATTGCAATAGTTATTTATCGATTATAGTTTCCAAGATAATTCTTAGATTATTGTGCAAGAACTTTCTTAGATTATTGTGCAAGAGTTTTATCTTACACGCATGCACATAGTAATATGACACGAATCGCCGGTCCTAACTTTATACCAGTGTTTGCAACTGTCATGCAATTTTTAGTTCTTCAGCTAGCGTAATATTTATCTATTATGTATAAACAGCTTTACTAGCTAATAGAAATATTAAATACACTGTAGCGTAAAAATAAACTGATGTAAATTGTTTTCGTCTGGCAACTCTTTAATATGTGCTCCAAAATAATTTCTGATTTGTTATTGAAACTATTTTTCCACGAACTTCATATAATTATTTAAAATTATTTGAAAAAGAAAATTTGCAAACTCTCAGATTTGTCAGGACAATTCTATTGCCTTCGGTTTATAGTAAACCTTAACATAGGGTTAGTGCTAAAACTGGCACGGTTAAAATCCTTAACCCTAGGTTATAGTTAAACCTGCGTTAAAACATATGGTTAAAACTTCATGACTGTGTCGTTCAAAGTAGGGTTAGCGGTAGGGTTAATTAACCCAGGCTTAATATATTTTACCTATACAAATGAGATGAAAAAATAATGTATTTTGAGGACTAAATTGGATATAAAAACGCTTTCGACTGGTTAAAAAACTGTAACCGCGGTGATGGAATAATGTTAGTCGAAAAATTATAGTAAATAAGTGAGGGCATGCAGTTACGTTGTATTCAACTGCAATTTCTGTGCATGGAATTTTAGAAAGTTTCGAAATGAAAGGCCATTTAGTATGATAAACTATGGGAAATAAAATTAAGCAAATTTTAAACATCGCCTTTGGTGTGCAATGTTTAATCATAAAACAAATTACCACAGCCAATCAAGATAATTCCTTTTTGAAGTTTAAGATACAATGATCAGCTAAAATTGGTCAAACAACCAACTTAGTCTTAGAAACTCTGCACCTTCCCGCTGTGTTTACTGAAAGATTGAGATTCGTACATGTGCATGGCAACGGCGCAGTTTCACTGTACAAGCGATGAGTCTCATCTATACCGTTTTACCTAATTGACATCGGAAACAAATATTTGGGTCAAGATGTTTCAATTAAGTTGTCCTGTTGTATTTAAAACTATCGTGTATTGCATTGAAGTGAAGATAAATCAATCAATACAAATGCTGAAACAGAGAGAAATCAAACTTGTCTAAAATTGTTCATAAAATCTTTTAAAAGTGTTTAATGTAGTCCATATCTACGTGTTTCCGCTATATAGTCATAATTTTGAAAGTTAACCCAGTATGAAAAAGTTAAATCACATGTATATGCTATATATGTACATATATGGGTTAAATTTTTTTATCAATTTTAAGTCAGGGTTAACGAAATCGGGTTTTCTGCGGCGCAACTCTAAAGAGGTTTAAAATTTAACCATCTATAGCGTTAACATGCAGGCTTTTGAACAACGGGCCCTGAAGTTCAAATTTAATGCAAACGATCTATTATAGCTACATTTTGCTTCTGCCATTCAAAGCGAGAGAGGGTTTTCTTGGAACTGATTAGCATAAGAATTATAAGCTTGAAGGTCAGTACAGTTGGCAACCGCTTTGAACGAACTATTGAAACGGAAGCAGACATACTGTAGACGGGTATAAATTCAAGTTAAATGGGTAATTTACCGTCCAAAAGGGCAACATCCGAAGGCAAATATATAAGTAATGTCAATTTTGCCTTAGTTGGGTCAAGTGGTTGTGGAAAATCTGCCTTTGTCAACGCCGTGAGAGGGTAAGCAATCTATTTTCCCTTTCGTCGCACAAAATTGTATGTCGGCCAAATATACTGAACTTGCTTTCAACCCGTATTGCATAAAGACGTTGTATATCGCCGGCATTTCTTGCTATAAAAGACCTGTCAAGCGAATAAAATATGGCATGTGCAAAAATCAACATTTACTTTTAAAAATTGTTCATATAACTATTGTGATAAACGAAGGATGCTATTGTCAAGTATCTAAATTATATATATTCACACGACATGTTATTGTCACGATACATGTGCATGCCGTAAACTGAGGTATATAATCATCATGTATACATATAAATATTAGATATTTTTATTATTGTTCAATAGCTATTAAGGATGTGCATGTAGAAGCAAAACGTATTTAGTTTAAGATAAAGCGTTGATTTTTGACTTAAATAGTTCTTATTTCTTACGAGCTTTTAACTGTAAGATAATGTAGCCTTCAAAGGGAATAGGATTAATGACAAAGGACGCAAAAACTAATATTAGTGTAATTGTGTAAAATAAGATATCTAAAACGCTAACAATATTTGTACAATATTCTTGTATGTTTGCATGGTGACAGTCGAGAAATAATTTTGCTTGTAGGTACACAACGTAAGTATTTAATACTGCAAAGCTTTCGGAGTTTCGGTCCGTTAATCCGGGTCTTTATCAGTGCAATCGTTATTATTATTATAACACTGATGCACTGATGAAGAGCCGGGTTAACGGACCGAAACTCCGAAAGCTTTGCAGTATTAAATACTTACATGGTGTACCTACAAGCAAAATTACTTATCGTCTGTCACCATGCAAACATACAAGAATATTGTACAAATATTTTTATCGTTTTAGATATCTTATTTTACACAATTGCACTAATATTAGTTTTTGCGTCCTTTGTCATTAATCCTATTCCCTTTGAAGGCTATACATTATCTTACAGTTAAAAGCTCGTGAGAAATAAGAACTATTTAAGTCAAAAATCAACGCCTTATTTTTTAACTAAATACGTTTGGCTGCTATATAGCTACACATCCTCAATAGCTATTGAATTATTTAATACTGATCACGTCATGCATCAACGGTTACTCGTCTCTCACGCGCTTATGCTTGTGCACGCGCCTAAAATTTCCGGCATTAAACTTGTTCCAATGGCAGCATTTTGAAAACAGTTCAGAGCGCTTGTTTAATTTCTTTTTTCATCTGCACGTATTATGCACAGTCTTTCCGCGAGGCATAAACCACATCGTGGAGCTCCAGGAGATCTTGGGATGGCTCGTTTCACGATTGACCATTTCACACACACTTTTCTTCCGCTTCTTTTCAGTTTCAAGACATACTTAGAAAGTTTCGTTTCAGTTGCGTACAGTTCGTTTTTAATAGACTTCTTATGGTTTCTGTAGCGTTCTTTAAAAGAAGTAGTCGTCATTCCGATGTACTCTTTTGCGTCATTGTCATCGTCTGTAGTAACTGTAGCTTTGTACACGATGTTTTTTGTGTTGCAGTTTCCTTGTAATGGACATTCGAGATCACACTCTTCACATTTCCCATACACGAATAGC